AATCGACAGAGCAGCTCCTTTCCTTAGAGTGCAGAGTGCGCTTACTGGAAGTAACAATGTGCGTTTTGTTCCTGCTGCTTACATGGAACTATGAAACAGCCTGATATATGTCAGAGTAAAAGTTGTAATTCCTAGATGGTTTTAATCTTGGGATATGGTACAGTGTTTGTTGTCCTTGTGCAGGAAGATAAGATTATTTTAGCAATACTTGTTCCAACTAGAGTTATGGATCCTGGGTTTTTTTAATTTATTTTCCCAAATTTAATTGAATTTAAGTCACCTCTGCTACTTTCAAGGTTAAATTAAGTAACGAAATCTTAAATTCTTTTCATTAAAAGAGAATGAAATAAATGCCCAAAGAAAGTAGAGCTAGATTCTGCAAGAAGCACGATGGACTCTCCTTTGAAATAATAGTCTCATCCTTTGAGATTTTCCAGAGGAATTGTGAAGACTTACAGGTAGAACATGAATGTTTTTGATTGGTTCTTTCAATTTTTTTGTTTGTTCCTATGTTTGTTGTGTTTGGGTTGTTTTTTTTTTAAGTAGTAGTAGTAAAGTTTTTGAAATTCTCTCTTTTGGTTAAAGTGTGGTTAAAAAATTCAGCTGCGTTGTTCTTGCAATTTTGGCTGTGGGTTAATTCCACTGCATTTCTTCCACTGCTATACAGACAGACCTTAGTTTCTGTACTTCAGCAGTGCACCAAAAAAGCTAATTAAAATAACCAACAGCAGTGATTTCCAAAATACCTACATGCAGACAGCTTCCCACTTTAAATGCAGTGCTAACAGTTCTTTGGAATAACTTGATGTTCACAGAGGATCTGATGTGCTCCTTGGATTTTACCCAAGGAGGATAAAAGGCTATTTTTTATCTCTTGTAACTTGTGTTTTAGTATCCTTTATTAAACTATGAACTGTGGAATTGACTGGTAAAAGACCAGTTCTTTCACTGACATCAATAAGCTTTGAATCATATTAAAAGATTATTTGGGTTGTGAGTTCAGATTGTCAACCTGCATTGTATCCAATAAAAAAAAAAGACAATAACAAAAAAAAAGGATTTTTAAGTTAGATACTCATTTGTGATTAAGGATAAGGTACTTCTGCATCTATACACATATTCAGTATGCATTCACCTGCATGTTCAATTAAGCTGAAGACTTTGTCCAGGACCTTTACATTCTATAGTGGTTCTTTTCTGTCTAATCTATCAACTGTATTTCAGCTACAAAACTGATCATTATTTCTTTAACATACCCTCTATGAATATTTAGGCAGTTTATTGTTGAAAAATACAGATGTACTGTCAAATATCACTCCTGAGAAAGTTTGCACACATGCACATACATGGATCTTTGAGTATTCATTGGTTCACACTGTAAGCCTTATCACTGTTATTAATCATTTGCATTGCACCATAAATTCACACAGTGCAATCTCTGTGCTATATAATCCCTGTACTCACTGGTATTTCTAAAGTCATTCATGGTACGTTTCTAGTTCAGTTAATGAATTAATTTAATCTTTTTGGTGGTTTGTGTTTTTTGTTTGTTTGTGGGTTTTTTTGTTTTGTTTTTTGCTTGTTTGTTTGTTTTTGGTTGATACAAGCTTTATGTGCATCAGTAATGGTGGGTTGGGATTTAAACACTCCTGTGGCCAGACCTTGAATGGACAATCAGAACTGGTTTTTATCTCACAAAATGCTATTGACAGTCGGAGGTGATAATAGGCAATTTATTGTGTTTTTTTAATTATCAGTCACTGCTTATGAATAAAAGAGGAGGAAAGAAGAATCATGTGTTCTTCTGAGGGTATAAGCCTTCAAAGCTGAATTACTAGAGGGTAAGAGAAAGAGAGTGAAAAAACAGTGAAGGGTACCACAAAAGCAAGGATGTGTTTTGACCTCGTAGTATCTCTGTAATGGCAGTAAACACAAAATCTCGTTCCTTTGGGCCTCACTTCGTTTTCTTATAACCACCTTATGGAAAAGCTGGGAAGTTAAGGAAGGCTCATATTGCCTTCAAATAATTACTCTTGAAGTATTTTTAGTAGCCTGTAAAGAAAAGCAGTGACAACTTCGTTACATGTTTTTTGAATAGTTACGTAGTCATTAGAATTCCAGGGACTTGAATGCTGCTGGAGTGCACACAGCATGATGAACTCCCTATCCCTTTGGCAAAGAAATACAGCAAAAGCCAGATCTTCCATGTGCTGACATCAGAGGCAGCGGAGCTGCCAGTTGATAAAGACTTGAGCACTAATTTTGCTTACACTAAAGTTAGGATGACCAATTATTCTAGGATGACCACTGCTATTTTAAGTGCGGAAAAGGTGCTTTTCAAATTGTTTCATGGCTCATTAAGGTTCCAGGATTTTCCTTTATGAAAGTCTGATCAGAAAGTTACATTGGAGAGCACTCCTGCAGCAAGGTTCATAAATAATGAATATTATCTCTTATTAATCCATATTTTAGTTTAACTCTGGCTCACGGCAAGTTGCTTCCTTGGGGAACGCAGGATTCTTTATAAGAGAAGGTGATGAGCCACAGTCCCTGAGGAATTAAATTGTGAAAACAGTCTCTGTTTTGTACATGCTAATACAGATCTGTTACTCTCTTTCCACATTTCTCACAACACATTCTAAATTGTGGCTGATCTTTTATGCAAATAGCTGTCTTATTAGACATTGCGGCTGTATGTGCTAATGTCTCCATGGGTTTCTCGGGCCTTTGCTATCTAACCATCAAAGTGGTGAAAAGAATGATGATTACTGCAGTCCTTTGAAGAACAAAGAGGAGTCTGGGTTCTAGATGTGGCAGTTGGTGGCACTGAACCATGTGGGCAAGTGTGAGCATCTCTGTGGCTCCTATTAAGTCAGGAAATAATTTTTGTCTGTGTTTCCTTTTTATGTCTTGTTGGCACTGCTAAAACTGCAGACATCTTTCACAGCTGATGTTTTGTTACAAAACATTAGTAGGCTATTGAAATTGCAAAAGGCAAGTCAAAACACTCTCTAAAAGTGGTATGAAAAAGCCAAGAACTAGTTTTGCAGTGTGAAAATATACGTTATCTCCTCAAGTAGCCAAAAGTTCAAATGGTACTTTCATTTTCTGCTCTTGCTATTGGGATGTGAATGTTACATGAGAAATAAAACTCAGTTGAGAGAATACATAAAATATGGGTATGCTCTGAGTTAAACAAAAGTAATGTATGGAAACATTAGAACTCTATGACTGAGTTTTCAGTTTGGATTAAGAAATAAAAAGTTGTTGACTTCTATGCACCTAAGTTCATTTTAAGCCATGTCCCACACTTTAAATTCAGGAGCCCGGATTTGTCACTTGGCATTAAATGCCAGTAATTCTTATAGATAAATCAAAAGAAGAAACTTTGTGGATTGAAAAAGCATAAATAACTGGTGGGATCATTCCTGCAGCTATACATTACACCTTGTTTGAAACTATGAAGGAGATAATGGTGCATCTTTAAGGCTGAGAGGCTTATGGTAGCACATTTAGGAATGCCTTGGCATGCTTTTTGGCCCATGATTTGGCATCACAATGCCTTTAAGGGCTGCACTTCCCAAACAGAGCCTGGGGAAGCTCGTCTTGCTGTCATGCAGCTGGTAATGCCTAACAGGAAAGTAAAACTTGCAAATACTCCAAGGCCATATGTGCACAATCTGTAGACAGTCTGTGGCTACCTGGGACAGTTCAGCTAAAGTTTGCCTTTGGCACAACTCACCAAGGCCAGTTGGGAAAAGGCAAGTGTTGGACGTTGTGCATCTTCTGTGCACTGGAGAATGTCAGCCCTCTTGTCAGTACAGGGGTTGATGTTCAGAGGCTTGTGTCATAAAGGTGGTCAGATGGTGGGGCTTATGATCATTGTGGTGAGGGGCATATTCAGCCCATCCAAAATGGTTGAAAAATAGTGTTTTGAGGAACAAGTGTGACTATAAAAGCCAGGTGTTTTTTAACCGTTGAAAAAGAGGTGAAATTAGTGTATATGTAGAATCTTACTGTACTTTTTGAGTGGCAGCCCTGTGAAGGGATGAGTAAGAGTTTTCCAGATTAAATGGACGTATTTGAAGTTTGCTGGAACATAAGTTTGCTTGTTCAGTTACACTGATGGTGTGAGAGTAACAAAGTACCAAAAGAGCATCTTTGGATGAATGATGGTGCAGTTCCCTGTGCAATCCTTGTGTCACCTCTTTGTGCTGTGCATTGCAAGAAGCTCATTCAAGTCAGGATGGTTGTTACTTAAATGCATTGAAGCTGATCTAAACTCTCAATACCTTGGCTGAGAGGTGTAAAAAGGGCACAGCCCCAGCTCTTACCTTTTATTCTCCACTTTCTTTTAATTCACAGGTCTCTAGAGCCCATGGCAGGAAGGTAGAGTGTGGAGTTGCTGTGTTTTAGGTATCTGTTCCTCTCTTTAGCTCAAGGTGGCTGGAGGGCTGTGTCTATAGGTGGGTTTCCCAAGCAATTACCACCAGCGCATGCACGCATGCCTAGTCCTGCGTCAGGCTTCTGGGCATACTGTAAATGTGCTTGCCAACAACGGAAGCAGCTCAAAATACAACATTCACTCCCTGGTTTACAAAAAGGAATGTAATTCTGTGGTACCAAATGCTGAATTACAGTGCCATCAGTTTAAATCCTTTTCTTTTTTTCTTTTTTTTTATTCAGACTAAGAGGCATTCTGTAATGTTAATAACCCATGCAATGGGGAAAAAGGTATGCTAGAATTTATTAATAGTCTACAGAATAGTGATGATTGAACTCCAGTGTCTCATTGCACTTTGGGAAGGCTTATGTCTGTATGTAATCATAACATAACATAAATGTTGCTTGTTAGTTTTTTCTGATGTTGTATGTCATTGATTTCCTCAGTAACTTATTTAGGAATAATGCTTACTTTTTTTTCTCTTTTTTAATTTTTCTTTTTCTTTTTTTTTTTTTTCCCCTCCCTGCTGCTGACAGTGATTTTTGGATTTAAAACGATGGGTAGAAAAGATGCCTCTACAGCAAGAACTCCCGTTGACCAGTACAGGAAACAAATAGGTAAGAGAATTGAAGAAAAGCTTGTGTGCTTAAAAAAAAAAAATCTCTTGGTTTTTTTTCTTCTTCTTTTTTTTTTTTTTTTTTTTTTTTTTTTTTGTCTGGTTGGTTTTGTTTTTTCAGCCAGACCTGTTAGTGTAACAAAATGTATTATTCCTCTTCAAAAACTTTGTTTTGCTTGTGAGTGGTACAAAATAAGGCACACTCCAGGGAAACATTTGTTAAATGCTGTTGACTAATTCATTCAGCAAAACCTTTTATGAAGCCAGCGTTTCAAGAAGCTCGATAACATCCATGTTCTGTGTTTGGAAATAGTAGTGAAACACTGCAGTGCGGTGGCTTCATGGTATTTCTGAACTGTTGGAATGTTCCTGATTCTTCTGTTTGTCTCCAATCAAATATGGGCATTTCTAACAAAATACTGTTCCTGCTTCATAACAGTTTTTGATACGCTGAATGATACAGAACTTTACATTCTATAACTGCATTTATTCTCACACTAATGCAATACTTCTAATACATTAGTCATTTATTTTCCTAGGTCTCTTACTGTTCTTACCTGTTGTATACGTGGATAACTTGTATACAAAGTATGCACATGCACACACATGAATGCACTTGTGTACTCACACACATACCTTCATAGCAGGCTCAAATCTCTATTTCTTTCCTTAAATGCAAAGGCAGGTGACTTATTGTTGGAATTCATATAGGAGGGTTCTGTCTAGGTGTTAAATAATATAAAATAGACAAAGGATTTTAAAAGTATGTATATAAAATGAAGTACCTTAATCTATACTTAGTTATCTAAGTAAATGACTTTGCTTTAAAGTTGCTAAGCATCCACATCTGTGTTTAAATACCCAGAAAAATAACAAGTGTCTGGGGAAAAAAAGGCTGTTTATAGTGTATATTCTTATGGTGAAAGAACTACGGGTATGCGAACAATCTTATTTTTATCATGTCTTGTATTTTTTTAGTGCTGCCTTATTTTAATACAACTTTTAACAGTCTTTTCTGCATCTGAAGTTGAAAGTAAGGGAGTATTCTGTATTTTATTTATTATATGTTGCTGTGGAATGCTCCATATTTTCTAATCTTGGGCAGTTTATGGCTGGCTTTCTTGGTTCATTCTCTGCGAGTTAGAAGTGTGGCTGAAAATTTCTAAGTACCTTCACAGATGGGAAGCAGATACACTGGAAAAAAATGTTTAAATAAATGGGGACTCCACTTCTGTGCGATTTAGGTTTCATGTAGAAAACTTTGCAAGGAAACTATTACCCAGCAGAAGACGACACCACAAATATTTCACCCCAGTGGGTTTGGTGAGAAGTGGGAGCCGTGCGGCTACTCATCCTGTGTAACTGGGTGTTTGGATAGAGGATTGCATTAGCTTTCTGACATTTTCTGTGTGTATTTTCATTGTGGTCACTTCTTTTTCAGCCACCTCCTTTAGGGATGCTTTTCTTCCTTTTGTGCACGACTTCAGGTGACCATGGTTGAAATTGTTTTTCATAGATGTCCACAGGGTGAGAGAGACTGGTGATCTCCAGCAGGATCCCTGGAAGGCAGGCTAGGCTGCTGGAGGACCAGGGGATGTAAAGCCACATATGAGACTCACAAGATTTTCTCACACTCGTTCACAGCTTGGGCTACTTCTTGCATGTCACTACTGCATGGCACTGTGGTTGTGCATCTCACAGCCGTGACATGCCAGGGCTGATCGGCTGTGCCTTGAGCTGGGTAGAGGACACTGTGCTGTAGCAAGGGGGCGAGAGTATTTATATAGGGGCCCAGTATTCAGAGGCATCCTGTTATGTTGCTGACTTTCCAGTTTCAGGCTAGCCTGTTGTCTGAACGATTTGGCACCTTCCCTGTTAAATGATGCAGCACCGTGATCCATTGGGTACTGCAAAATACAGTGTCCAAGGGGACTTATAATAAGCTCATTTTCCTCAGTTGTGACACATTGCTCTTAACTTGGCAAAAGCAAGCGTTAAAAATTATCGTAGGGAAGAGTCTCACACCGGCAGGCAAATAAACTATATAACCTAGGAGGTGTTTCTATGATTGTACTATTCCTTAGAGGACAGAGAGCAAGAACTAAAATAGACTATTCACTGCCTTTTGCTCTGATGATGGTTGTTTCAACTCCCACTCTGGTCATTCACTATAGCCAGAGAGTTTGCTAATGGAAATTATTTTTCTGAACTTAATGAATTTGAGGGGGTTGAAAATTCATGGGTATTATTTTATACTTTCATGTGGGTGCGTTTGAGTTTTTATGTACAAGCATTTTGGGTTAGCTTTAGGCCTGGTAGCTGAGCTTAGTGGAGCCATCTCCCTAGTGTCATTATGCCTTTAGGTGTATTATAGGACAATAGGTGTATTATTGACAATTATTGTCCAATAAAGAACATTTTTTGCCATAATGAACATGGAAATCTTTCTTCTTTTTTTTTTTTTTTGCCATTCTTGATTTTTTCTACTTACATAGTGTTGCATAAGTGATGATAATTCATCGGTTTATCATAGAACCACAGGGTGGTTGAAGTTGCAGGGACCTCTGGAGGTCATCTGGTCCAACCCCCCTGCTCAGACAGGGTCACCTAGCGCCAGTTAGCCGGAAGGGTGTCCAGATGGCTTATGAATATCTCCAAGGAGGGGAACTCCACAGTGTCTCTGGACAACCTTGTTCCTGTGTTTGACCATGCTCAGAAATGATTATTGTACTAGAAATTATACAGAAAGAATTATTTTTCTTTTTCCTAAAGTCCATTCATCAAATAAACCCTAGATTTGGTAGCCTAGGTACTCTTGCAGGGATGCTTCAGTGTGAGGCTGTTCAGCAGAAGACTGCTCTGACCACAGAATGCTATCATGCTCCAGGCTCGTCTATTTTGGAAGTGGTTGTTTGATCACCCTTTCCCAGATAGGTTATATCTAGAAAGACTGAGCAAAGGGAGGTTGCATGAGGCCTGTCTTTAAAAGAATTAATTTATCACATGCGTTAAGAGTTCTGAATACATGCTTGGAGTGATTGCCGTCCTTCCTTTCCAGGCATTTAGTATGTATGGATTCTTGAAAATGTTATGATGGATGCTGGCTGAACAGCTATCTCTTGTTGACTAATGGTATGGTGTTATTTCTTAGCTCATGCTTTAATGTTTTCTAGCCTGCTGGATAGAAGGTAACCAGATTGAAACGTTTTTAATACCTTTTTTTGTTTGATGGAAAATGGCAGTTTTCAAGGAACAACATGTCACAAAGTCATGTCAACTTCAACACAATTTTCAGTTACATGTTTAGCGGAGTAATTTGAAATAAAAGCAGATTTTTAATTTCAATTTGTTCCAAGCTTTCTGTTTTGTTCTGAGTTTCCATACGGCATGCCACATGTTTGCCCTGTGCCATGGTTCAAGTTCATGTTGATCACTTCAGTTCAGCCGTTTGCCTTTTTCTCTCCTTGATTGAGCACAGGATCGCTCATGTCTTGTTTGCCATTGTGCCATTAGCAGTTGCTGTTTGCTTCAGTAGCATTTTCAGAGGATTCCCCTGGCATAGAGATTGATACTGCTCTTCTCTGTCAGCTGGCTTTCAGCCATCTCTCCTGCCACCAGCCAAAATTTGTCTGTATTGCCTCTTGTTCAGCAAGTGCTTTGGTATCCACAGAGCACTGCCTTTTCCGCTGGGAGCAGAGGCAGCCTTTTCGTTATCAGACCAAACTGGCACTAGCTTCGTGAAGACTGTCCCCAAGTGGGACAGGGAACAACAGCAGCAAAAACCTTTTCAAGCTGGCTTAGACTGTGTCCGGAGGAGGGAGGATGGTGCTGAGGGAATCCTTCCCCATTCAGTTCCCCACGAGCAGCCGAGGTTCTGGAGGGAGGCATGAGAAGTAATTTTAACACTCGTTATTCAGCTCTCTCTCACATACCCAAACATATACCTGTAGTGCAGCAACAAACGGGGCAGCTCTTCTGCATAGTGTTTCCTTCTCACTGCTGCTGTTTGTGCTGCTGTGCTTAATTTGCTGGGATCAGAGGAAAGGTGTGAGGCAGTATGCATCTTTCTGCATTTATGCAGCTTTGCTCCACAAATGCTGTGAAAATAGCAACAGGTTTTACACCATATTTGCTTTGTTTACTGTTATGTGTGCTTTAAGTTCCCAGAACAATTCCACATGTATATTTTCCATCCTTCTTCATCTGGTGTGTCGCTTGCTCGGCATGGAAGCTGCAGGATTTGTGGGTAGTGTTCATGACTCGTGTGATTGTGGGATCCTAAGCAGGCATACTGAGAGGATTATAGCATAACTAAAACCTGGTCTACAAATCAGGAATAGACATACTTTTGGCTCCTATTACTATTGTGTTGCTGTAGCATAATTTTTCATGAGGAGAGGTTGTTTGCCAGTCATTCAACCTCCAATTTGTAGGCTCAAAGGTCTGCTTATTGTCTGCTCTGTATCTTCTGACTTGCTGGCTGCTCAGCACCCTTCATCACCCCATCACTCTGCGTGTGCTATGCCAATGAACACTACCTCCACCACCAAGCAACTGTGCTCAGCCTAGCACCTTGTGCTTTCCAAAACAAAAGGAGAATTTGTTTTCATTCATAACTTTTACTCCTTCCTGGGGGATGTGAGGAGCTAGAGGTCCCCTGGGCTATGCTTATATAAGCTCCAGCCCCTAAAGGATCGGAGTCCTGATACCCCAGTTGTAGCAGCACAGGAAGGAAGAGAGAACTGCCCACCTGAACTAGCACATAAAACTCTGGGTAAAGTCATCCCTTTTTTAGAACTCCTTGGTGTGGGGAGCTGGTGATGTGTCCAGACGAAAGGCATCTCATCCTAGTGCCAAGGGTTATGGTCCCACTGTAGCCCTGATGAGATGAAGAAGAGCTTGTGTCTCAGGATGATCATGGTGTGTAGAGCTGGGCTCTGTTGTCTCCCAGCCCCTTGGAGAGTAGCTGTGCTGTCAGCTGAATTATTGTGAAGGAAAGTG